ATTTAACTTACTAGAAGCTTTGGGTTACATTTCTTATATGTTCTATTAATCTATGCTTCTTAATTAAGATCATCCTTGGGGAAAACTAGTGTATATTGATTCTTTAACGTAATTTTGGTGTGCAAGTGCTGCCGTGTGGGTGAGACCGAAGAGAATTTTTCGATATACAAAGTACCACAAAATAGTGCAGCAAATTTGGCACCTGTCACACTGTATGTACCTACATTTCAATTATTTTAATTTTTAGATGAAACGCATGCTGAATCATAATTCGTAATCAATTTTGTATAAATAATCCCTTTGTTTAATTTTGTTGTAGTTATTTTGTTGAGAAGAAGATGACAAAATTCTAAAATTATTTGCTTAGTATTGTTAAATTTATCTAATTTAGATTCGGGTCGTTGCGATAAGAAATTCCGTTATCGCCACGAACGGTGCAGATTATTCTAATACGGCGCATTGTTTTGTCAAGGAAGGAAAGAAGTAAATGGAAAGAGAAGGAAGGTTTTAAATAACTCCACCAGACGTTATTCAAGGCTTTTTTGGTGAGGGACGTCGACACGTAGACGTGCCGTTTTGGTATTTGGAATACTGCCGTATTTGAGCGTATTTGAAAAAGCAGTCTCTTATTTAATTGTAAAGTTGCGTAGAAGAAAGCTAGACAGTGTTTAAAGAATTTTCTTTACATCGTGATAAAAGTGTCGAGTTGTCAGGGAAAGGGAGTTTTCTCCACCATCAAAGAGCCAATTCAATAACTGTAATTGCAACGAAGTCAGTGTCGTCTAAATCGAGTTTTAAGTGAAGTCAAAGGGGTGAAGTTCCGAAGCATCATTGAGCTCGGTGTTTGTGATATGTGTTAGTGCATCTGTTTGTCGTAAAACGCATTTACGACCGGGTGATAAGGTCTTAAGGTAATTAGAATTTTATTTAAATTTGATTTGATTAATCGATCGCTTGTTGCGCAGCGTTTGTTATTTGGCGCTATATTTCTTTCAGGTTATTTAATTGATTTATGTTGAATAAATTTGGTTGTATCTGTAAATGGTTGGTATGGATGAGATGAGAGCTTTCTTGTCAAATTTTTCTATTCGTACACAGAATTATATAATCAGGTGTTAATTAAAAATGTCTTAATTAACTCTGTTGACTTGAATTTCTCCAATGAATAAAATTTTCGGTCAAGAAAAGGGTAAACGTTTTCTTTGCGACCTCATGTTAAGTGTTAACTACCGAGAAAGTATACTCCATTTGTTTCTGAGAATCTGAGTCTTAATTTTCTCGAAACTACAACATAAATTACTCGCTCGGACTAGTAAAGAGGACGCTATAAAAAGGGGCTACATATGCCCTCGACGAAGTACTAATTTTGAGATAACCCGTGTAGCGTACACAAGGTTCCATGATTAATCGCAAGTTTGAAATCTCTTATCATGCTAATAACGCACTTTTTAATAAATACACATTGACTTCGAGTTAATAGTACTGGAGGGGCGTAATTTAGGGACATATCTTTATTAGAGTTAACGTCGTAATTGTACGTTGAGTTTTTTTGTTATTAATTAACATTCCTCCCTTGGGAAATTATGCGTCCGGTTAACGTCAATTATTTGTATTTGGATTTAAGTATGCCCAAAAATGCGAGCAGCTAACGTAAATTATATTAAATGTATCCAACAGGATTGATCGTCTCTTTGTATTCTACTATCATTACATGAACGTAAATTCGAGTATTTCAGAGAAATTTGTACAGATTTTGGGTAGTTCTGAAAACTTTACTGCAGCTGACAGCGAGGCCTGAACTCAAATGTAAAATTTGGTCATTTCAACTCTTAATACCAGCTTTTTTTCTGTAGGCAATCGGTTCTGAGTGAGGCGAGAATTGACAACGTAAATTTTGGTTCCGTAAACCGCAGGCCATTTCATCCCTTTATACCAGTTTCGCGTTTGCATGGTCAATTGGTCCTGAGTACTGCCACGTATCCGTCCGTTCGTAGTAGATCGACGGTTCAAGACTACGAAAAACACATAAACAAACGAGCGCAAAAATCATTACTCATGAATTCAGCGTCAATGTGGGATCTTCCATTAAACACGATTCAATTTGCTTAGGTATATAGCAAAACGGAAAAGCACCCATAATGCATGAACATTGCTAATCTCCTTTGTCATCTGATCAAATAAAACAAGTAGCACGAAAAGGTGGTACGAAATCAAGGGTGGCATTTCGTAACTTCGTTAATTAAAAAGGCAAAAATACAAACTTTTTACATAACTTAAAAGTTAGTAATCGTTTGATTAACATCCGCCATTTTTTTTTAAATTTTACTATGCGACGGACAGGCACAAAAACAAGTAGAGGATCATATGGCGCGAGTTTGCGAACCCGCTGCTAAGAATCTAAATCTATTTGTAATTCAATTATAAAGTTGTGTTATTGCATTAACGAAAGTAGTCTATTACAACAAATTTCAGCAGTGTGCACTTAACATCCCGTCACGAAACTTATAACACCTGCTAATAACAATTAAAATCGAAATGAACCTGAGGAATATGCCCCAAACTAAGCAAAAACTCGGATACAAAGGCATTATATTATTAATTAATAAATTTCCCAATTAGCTACGACCAGGCTTACGCGTTTAGGCAGTATTTTGTGCTTAATGCATTTTAGGATCATAATTATAAATGTCACAAAGTTGTAAACTACGTAATTTATTATAGCGAATATAAAGTGAGTAGGCAAGGTATAAGCGATTTAAATATAAATGTGATTTTTTATTGCTCAATAATTATTGTCTCATGTAAATTAGGACTCCACTCGTACCCTGAAAGTCGTCCAATGAATGAAAACCACGGCAACATGTATCTTAATCTAATTACAAAAGAAGAAAGAGAAACAAAGAAACGTTCCCAAGCAGCTAATTTGTATTCAGATGAAATCATATTTGGTAATACCTACCCTTGATTGAATTTTTCATAAAGTCCAAAATTACACTTTTTTACAGTAGGTTTTCATGTTCTAAAACTAATTCACTTAACGGGAATAGAATTAAATTTTCTCTTTATGACAATTGAAAGAAAGGAAAATAAATTCTATTTTAAAGTGAACAAAGCAACAAATGTAAACTCAATTACGTCTGGTTGGAGTTTTTTTTTGCTACTGTGCCTGTCAGAGACAAATTACTGTCCATACCGCCTTTATGAGATAAGTACATTAAGTGAATAGTGGCGACCAATGGGACTTCGTTATAATTTGCAGTGTTTGTACAATATTCCACTTTATACTGTTCCTCCAACGCTAGAAAAGTGGAACGATTTTATCGGCAAAATTAATTTCGAAAGTTTTGACATAGACATAGTGTGATCATTGCTGGACAACATACGTTTTCTAAGACAAACAGTAAAGTAGGATTTTCCTTATGGGGCGGTAAACCTCTACAGTTCCTTAAAAAAAGCAAAGCAATGTAAGAAACCCGTTTCGTGTTTTGTTTTACGCAGTTTTTAATTTGTTTGTGGATTTTCTTTTTCTTTTTGTTCTGCCTTTGTTAATTTACATTAGTGTATTTTGTGTGCGGCTATGCGGAGGTTTTTTGTGCCGAAGGAAGGTTTCGCTGACATCGCCTGGTTGTGTGCGTAAACAACCATTTGTTTATATGGTTCTTTTGTTATTTTCTTACGCGCAAGATATGAGTTTTTATTTTAATTTCCGTCCCACTTATGTATTAAAAGAACCGCCAGTATAACACCGACAACTACCAGAATCGAAATGTCGCGAAGTCCGTCGTTTGGACATTGAAAGAACGTTGGCTCAGGCTTAGTGAGTATGGCGTCAGGTCAAGATGGTAGTCGCTTCTCGATTTCTGCTGCTGATTGCAGACGTTAGTGTTGTGAATAGTATATTAAAGCATAAGTTGCAGAAGGCGCTATATTCTAGCACGAGTTCAAGTTTCGAACCTGAGCCGCGTAGCGGCGAAGGTTCGAATGAACGCGTCCAACATATGCTTTATACTATTTTCTCTGTTGAGCATTTTAATTGTATTAAAAAAATTAACAATTCTGACATTTTCTGTAATAAATATTTCAATAAAGAAATTAAGTTGGCAACACCAACAATTTTTCAATAAAGAAATTAAGTTGGCTACGCTACATTTTGAAAAAATTCAATTTAACAAGCGCGTCAAATACGAATTTGTGCAGTATATTTTAGTTTTTTCAATAAAAAGTGAATAATGTGCGAAGAAATTCTTCCTTCCACTCCTCCAGAGCTTCGACAGTTAGCAGAAGAGTTATAAAACCTCATTTGTATTAAATGTGGATTTCTCTAAGTACCTACACTGAATTTTCAATACCTAATGATTTCAATTACCCGTATCGTTAATAACTGTAACATAATGTTATAACAATAAGTGAAATTAGTCCACATTTTACTAAACCGTTGAGATAAGTATTAACGTCTAAATCATCCAGGCAGAACTTTGAATTGAACATTCGCGTATATGATCAGCCTGGATGATTTAGACGAGCATGCCAACCACTGAATACCAAATGTTCTTAAAAATCTGTCAGTTGTGGAAAATAGTTACCAAAAATAGTGTTGGAATGAAACTCATTCCAGCACTATTTTTGATATCGGAATACTGTCATTATAAACGCAAAACAGAGAAACAATGTGGCAGCACTGAATACTTATTGGATCCCTACACTTTCACAAAAAGTGGCTGACTGCATATATGTTCAATGAAGTTGATCAGGAACAATGTCACAACTATGATTTGTTGAATTTGCCTGTGTCGGCATAATTATGTGTTAATGGCTAGACAAAAAAAAACTATAGCTGCAAAATCCCTATTTTCCACAAAAAAATGCACTAAAAATAACAGAAAAAAAGATTCCTGAAAACATTGCTTAACAGTTTCACATAATCATTAACAAAAAAAATAACTGATTGCAAATTTAAAAGGAAAAGGTAACGAAAAACCAACAAACGTGCAATGAATCTAAACAGAACAATATACCTCAAATACTTACGGCAAGCTATATTTGTAAAATGGCATTTTTTGGAGGGTACCCACAGATTAGAGGAACCTGTGTCGAAAACAACCTTAAACGATTGTGGTGGTGTACCAAGCGTAATAGGACCAAAATATTGTGCCTGAAAATATCATATCATGCAAAATGTTCAGAAAATTCGATTAAAATTACATCTAAATAGTTTGACAGAGGCTCGGGTACAGGACTTCCTCCATAACGAACCCTCAGTTGTTTGACTTCTGTTCCAACTTCTTTCAATGTTTTACGCGCAGAAGGTATTTTATGCAAAGGAACCCTTAAAACAAACAGGTAGGTAATTTGGTTATAATATAATTAAATTAAAAACACTACCTGATAATATCGCATTGCACCGCAACTAACGCATACAGCAATAAAATTATTCGAAGCATTCTGTATAGTAATGTTAAACTGTGCTGTTGTTGTTTTTCAATATATACTTAACAAAACTTATGTACGTATTTCTTATCTAAATATAACTCACGATCACACAATATTTGTTTGTTCGGGATCACACATGAGCGATAAATATACCGGAATGTAGCGTATTAACAAACCGCATAGTCATGTCAAAGGTCATGTAGGTCACGATTTGACAAGATAAACAGCATTGGTGAATCACTACTTAGTTATTGATAAACTTTGTAGAGGACGCTGGGGACACATTACTTAAAATCAGAGACATCTCTGCTTAAAATAGAAGTTTTTTTGCATTTTGTTTCTGCCGTTAGAATTCTAGACATGTCTATGGAACGCCGTTTTACTTTTTATTACGAAAGTTTACAATGTCACATTATAAACAACAGTTAATTTTATTTCCCGATTTATTATGTTTGTTGTTTTTATGTGAAACATTAAATATGTTTGTTTAAAAAACTTCACTTGATTGAAAATGATGTATGAATTATATACAGCTAGCAATGTGTATAACGAAAGTTTAACAATACAAATTAACAAACGAATACATAAACGAACAGTAATATAACTAACTAGAACTAATTCAACAAACATAAAAATTTATTCATATTAAATGTGGGATTAAAATTATGAACAAACATTTTAATTCAACAATCATATTAATTCAATTATTGAAGTGTTGTACAAAATTCCCAACAATCATTTTAATTCAACAATCATATTAATTCGTGCTGTTAAAATCGGAAAGCATTATTTAAAATGATTGTTGAATTAAAATATTACATGAATTAAAATGTTTGTTGATAATTTTAATTCGTATCTGTGATTGTGCGGAAGTTTCAGGAACTATCCTTTAGTGTATTTGGGTACGTGTATACTAGCGCCTAATTAAAATTATCAACAAACATTTTAATTCATGTAACATTTTAATTCAACAATCATATTAATTCAACAATCATTTTAAAAGATTCTTTTACTACGTCTAACAATAAAAATTTATTTGTTTCTTGAATTAAAGTGATTGTTGAAAATATTCGGCTTCAATTTTCAAATCGTCCAATTTATATGACTGATGAATTAAAATGTTTGTTTGATAATTTTAATTCCACATTTAAAATGAATGAATTTTTATGTTTGTTGGACAAAATCGTTTTATTAATCGAAGTATTTCTTGCAATTCAATTTAATTGTTTGTTATTAATTGTTTGTTGTAATACAGTTTCATATACACTCATTCAATATAACAATATAATTCATTTCACATTTTTATTAAGTAACATTTTTTAAACAATCATATTTAATACGTAAGACAATAACAACAAACGTAAAAAGTATAGGCATACGATTGACTGTTAGGTATTTAAAATGGTACATTGTAAAATTTTGTAATAAAATTGTACAAATATTTTCAGAGAACATTTTAATTCAACAATCATATGAATTCATGCTGTTAAAATCGGCAAGAATTATTTAAAGTGATTGTTGAATTAAAATGTTACATTAATTAAAATGATTGTTGATAATTTTAATTCGTATCTCTGATTGTGCGGAAGTTTCAGGAACTACAGTTTAGTCTATTTGACTACGTGTAAACTAGCGCCTAATTAAAATTATCAACAAACATTTTAATTCATGTATCATCTTTATTAATCAACATTTTTTTAATCAATCTCTTAATACGTAAGATAAAAACAACAAACGAAAAATTTAGAGACATAAGATTGACTGTTATTTAAAATGATACATGATAAAATGTTGGTATAAATACTAAAACGGCGTTCCATACATGTCTGAGAATTGAGATTTCTTAATAAATATATACTTAATTACTTACTATTATAATAGTATTTTACATTATTAGCCAGGTAAGTGAGTTTTTACTGGCGATAGGAGAAGTTGACTAGCGAGCCGTTAGGCGAGCTTGTCATCTCCTAGAGCCAGTAAAAACTATTACCTGGCGTATAATGTACAATATTTTATTTGTTACTCATTTGTAAACAATAGTAAACGTAAATAATTAGTTCTTAAATTGATCTTGAAGAAATGTCTAAAATATCATGTTATCCATGTAACAGAGACTTCGCATTAATTCTGGCCAATGAAATTACTAGATTACTAACTTGTAAAATTTTTACAGGTCTGCTGTCAGTTTTACAAGTCAGTATGTAATTTTACCGATTTAGAATATATTTATATCGATAAGATTTATGAGTTTTCTCTTGATAATTACCGTTACTTATCTATTAATCGATAATTATCAGAGATAAATGAATAATGATTGATTATTATATCGACAGATAACCATCATTTTTGATTTTTTCAAAAATTATCGATAATTATCGTTACGATTTATCGAAAGTTATCGATTAACGATTAATCAAGAATTATCGGACTAAACAGACTTATTTATCACCCAGCACTAATCTGTACCTACTATCATCTGTAGTGAAAAAGAGGACCTTACGACCTTCTAGAATGTTCGTAACTATGCACCTTTACGTATAAGACTATTCCTTTTCTAAGACTTTAATAATCCATATAACCCTGAACGCGCAGTTTTCTTTTCTAGGTTGAATGTTCATTATTTAATGTTAATATTACCAAAGAGTACGCTTACTCTCTTTGATATTACATATGACCAGGATGAGAGGACGCGCTGGTGCGAAGCCACCGTATGCCTGCTTTAAACGTTAGAAAAATGTTAGTAACAAATTATGGCCAAAACGTAGGGCTCTTACGCGCGATCGCAAATGTTTGATTATAAAATGGACTATTCAAAGCTCATTATGTAAAGTCCTGCTTTTTAGAGCGGCGTAGTTCCTAAAGAGAGGTGTACACCTCAATCTAGGTTCATTCAACCCGGCTAGGTGATCGAAGAAACAAAACCACTTATTGGCAGCCATCTTTTGACCAAAAACGTAACTGGTACTCAGAAAATATAAAAACACGCCGAATTAATAATTCGCAGACATCTGTTAATGATCCTATTTAACATAATAATGAATGTACTTTGATTCCTATGCCTAGTAATACCGTTGGGTGAAAAATACATTCATTGCTGAAACATGTGGGTTCATTGAGTATGTCTAACATACATTTTTTCATTATGTCTAGTCGAAGCAAAGTGAATCATAGACCTGATGAAACAAAAGATCATAGAAATACAATCTAAAAATTATGGTAGGATAGGTACGTACTTACTAAGATACCAAAATGATAGAAACTAACTCTTTATTGCCAATACCATGAATTAAATGTTACAATTTGTACCATAGTCATAAATTCTATAAAAGATATAGTACACAAAATACTGTTTAGTTTGTTAATTGGCAATGTACAACGCAGACTATTTTAACAGTTAGTATAAAAACAAAGCAGTATAAAATATGCTGAGAGTGATATGAACACATATTTGGAAACGAGTGTTAATGAGGTAATGGCAGACGAGCTGGCTTCAGAAATTCACACAATATACATTTAAGACATTACTTGTTTAAACTTTCTATAGCGCCGAGCCTAGCAACGCCTCATATCTTACATAATTCACAACATAAATGTCTCTCACCATCTAGTTAGACATAATGATTATTAAAGTGTAAAACTTAAGTACGAATGCACCTGTTAAATTGGCACACATTCTTAACAATTATAATTTTCGTGTCAGTAAAGCTATTAAAGTATTGTACAACACATAGCTCCTGTTTGCAGGAATGTTAGTAGTGTGCCCCGACTAAAATTAAATGCAATATTTCTTTATAACATAACACTTATGTTATTAATCTAATTAAAAACGATATGAATGGCAGAGCTTCAAGCACTGACATATTGCCTAACATTATACAAAAAGTATGAACAAAGAGATGATTAAGCTGCTACTTCTGCTTCTCCATTGGACTCTGCATCTGCTACGGCGTCATCCAGTTTCGCTTTCTTTTCGGGCGAAACTCCCTCGGCGGGCGTCCCTTCTGGTGCATCGCCACCTCCTCCTACGGATTTTCTTTTGATCGGGCAGACGGAATCTGTATTTAAAAAACAATCGACCATAAGCACTAGAATTCTTTCTTCACTTGTATGCGACATTTCTAATGTGTGAACAACAAAATTTTGATTCAGAGTTGGTCATGTGTAATTCTGATTGTCTCAGTGACAAGGTAGGTGACAAGAGTAGTTTTACTGCACAAGAAGTAGATTAAATACTTACCTACTTAAAATTAATGACTTGACCTAAGATTTCCATGGCCTTCTCTGAATCAAAATTTTGTTACACCATATCATTACCATGACTTTAATGCAATAGATTTACAATACTAGAAGAGCATTCAAATTTACAATTTCTTGCTCCTAAGTACAATCAGATGTCAAAACTGCACTGTGATTTCGTTAGAAACAAATTTACATTTTTTGATGCCCAGGCTGTGAAATGATTCATTTGGGTTCAGAGTACCTATGTAGTAACCATTTACCTTGATGACCAAGAGATGAATACCTTCAGTTTTTTGAGACCAAGTAAATGTGCGCATTTGGAAAATGAACTCTATTGTCCGCACTTTGTCTGTCTGTTCCACTACTAGTCCTCCCGTTTAAGCTTTTTCGTTGTGGTTTCTTTCTCATCCAGTGTAGCACAACACAGAGACCAGAACGACATAAGATTTTTTGGATTATTCACTTCCTTCCCGAGTTATTACTGATTCTATCTGGCGACAATGCGCTTTCGCCGGTTTTAACTTGTTATCAATAGGCCTCAAAATTATTTAATTGCTATTTCGTTCGAAAAACGTGGTAAAGCTTGAGTTAATGTCCCAAGATGTGAATAATGGCTTAAGATGTGTTAAAACCGAAATTTTCAATTTAGTTTGTTGAGAAAACGCCTTGTGAACTGGAAATACAATTTACTTACAAATGTTTGGTATCATCTTCTATGTACAAATGTAACCAACCCAAATTAAATACCCACTTTTATATAGAGAACATTGGCAATTATTATTTGGACTGGAAACGTCATTTTTGATATAATAGTTATTTATGGTATAAGTGTGTTATATTACAAATAAGTCACGCGAGAAAAAATTTTCTCAAGTGACTTATTTGTAATTAACACACGTGCACCATACAATACTTTATCCAACACCTCCTCAAGCTGGTTTAAAACGTGGAAATCTTAAAAACTGCGTGTTCCGCGAAAAGCTAGAGTGCATGGAATACAAAAGCAATAATTCGTTGCTATGGGGAATAATAAACAACAAAAAATTTCCCTGTTCTTTACTTCCTGTACTTTATCTTGCTAGTGAGTTATTTTACGTCCATAACTCATTAGTGGGTTATATTATACCTTCCTCATTTAATTTCGTCATGATAATGACTGGATAACATAGAGGTGTTGGATAAAAATTATCATTCATTAAAATGTCAAAAACGGCTAAATTTAGGCCCAAGGACACAAGCACAACCATCTATATTTACAAGCCGTGCTGAGTATTATGGCAACACTGCAGGTAGGGCCGATTTCCGAATTGAAATTGCGATGATTTGCGTTACTCCGTATTGAATCAATAGAAATTATTATTCAGGTAAGTTGCTAAACGAAATTTATCGATTTGTTGTCATAACCTCTAAAGCAGACTACTCATTACTGGACACTTACAAGCAGTTGTATTTGTTGAAAGTACATGTACAACCTCAAATATGACCTATACACTACGTGGTCGCCCGGTTTCACCGAAAAAACCCCAAGTACAAATCCCTATGGAAATTGATAGCGAAACTGAAGCGACAGCAGCATTTGTAGTGCCGAGCAGTGGCAACCTTCCAATGAAAAACAAAAAAATGTAGAAAGTGAAGGTGCTGGGTATCACCTCATTAAGCCGAAGCAGAGAACGGTAAGTGTTTATCGCGAAATAATACAATTATTATTTTATTAGTTTGTATTTCAGGTATTCTACCACGGACATGTTGTCAATTTTCTGAAGGAACCTTCTGACTTATTCCGAGGAGTTCACGGTATGAGAATTAGAAGTCTATGGGGATCCCCTCTTTAAAAGGTTCGTACCTAGAGCCATTGGAGTAGTGACCTGCTTACAGTCTCCCATTCCGAATCGCACCTAGAAGTCGTGGATAAAACCTCGCTGATGCACACCTTCACCTCGACCTATTTCGACAGAAATTCACCAATTTCGGATCTCGATGGAAAACACATTATGATGCAGTTACCAATTTATAGCGTTCCCTCGAGCGTTCCGAATGTTAAAGTCAAATAAAAATGTTATTTTCCATTTTTGTTAACGAATAAAATATATGCACAATTGTAAGCTGCCTAAGTATCTTTCTTCGCTGTTAAAACCACCAAAGCGAAACAAAGAAGAGGGTCATTTTTCAAGAGTAACAAAACGCCAATAAAACTTTAATCGCCCCTCCAATTGACTTTCGGACAACGTTGTCAAACTTCCCAGCATGGCTTGTAATTATAGACGGCCGAGATTTAGGTATAGAGAAAATTGGCAATTATTATTTGGACTTCAAACGTCATTTTTGATATAAGAATGATTATTATTAATTAAAATGTCAAAAATGGCTAAATTTATTATTATATATGACATGTATATAGAATGCGATGTAGAACCTAAGAATGAATACTATATAGGTTGCTCCATTTAAAATAAGCAAGTTGGCATCAACTTTTGGCATAACCGGAAGGAATTGAAAATAATTTTACATGAATTCCTCGTGAGCATTAGGTACTGTCAAATTTTTGACATACGGATGGTCAGTATTCTGCGTGGAACACCCTGTATACATGCTGTAGCAAATTGAAGAACAAATTGCTTTAAAATCCTTTTGCTTTTAGTTATTTAGCTACTTCCTATTTAAATTTGGTCTTAAATGATATAAATTAAAAAGACATACAAGCATTTAACAATTGAATATCACCTTTCGAGACTTCACATGTTTTCTAGCCAAGTTTGATCACAAGTATATGTACTATGAAACTTGAAGTGGTATAATATGAATGGAGGAATTTATTATGTTGTGTATAATAGTAGGCGCTCGAAAAAAAATGGTAAATTACAATCAAGATGTGATGAGTGTATGAGTATGTGGGGACATAGGATAAAATAGATTAGAAAACTGGTTTTGTATATAAACTCCTTAATTATTGTACAAAATTATAATTCGTTACGTTAAAATTGCATGGAATTAACTGAAACTTTTCAGACAAAATGGAACAGTCGGGAATTTTTACAATTTGTATACAATAAATAAAATAAATATTAGTATTAATAGTTGAGCACATCTTAGTATGTGTAACCCTAGCTGTAACCAAAATCATATCAAATTGAGTACTGTAACATGTTTGTGAAATACAAGGACTTATTTATTGTAATTAAAAATGTGTTCTTTAATTTCGATAAAATAGTTTGTCTACTGCTAGTATTTAATCCAATTCAATTCAAATTAAAATGCAATTTTGAACTGGTGGTATATAAGTATAAGCTAACTCAAAGGCAGAAGGTATAATAAATTACCATGGGAGCTAAGAAATTGTTTACCAAGGACATCCATAACCAGTAGCACAGACAAAATACCCTTTTATCTGTGCCAGTAGATTAACTAATTCACCCTGTATACTTATTTTCTATGAATAAACACTTGTTTTAACAACTGACAGTAAGTTACTGATCATGGAAAATACTTCTCTCTATGAGATAAACGTAGGTAGGTAGGTAACAAAAATTAAATTTATAATGCAACTAAAAATGTGCAAATATGCAGAAACACCTGTATATAAGTATTTCCTAACGAAATGACAAAACAAGGAATAATTTTGGTTCTAAAAATACAAAGAAGTAGGTGTACTTATCCTACCCAGCCATATACAAAAGGTGAAATAACTATTTTTAAACCACCATTTCACATAGTAGTGCAAATGACCCATCAATTTTTGAAGAAAATGTGTAACCAATCAATCTAACCCAACTGTGTATGACCGTTGATATGATGACAAAATTGGCTGTAATTTACACCAACAAATAGAGCAAGAAATTGGAAATTGTGCATAAGAATATGAACAGTTTTTTAACCTTTCGTTTCGACTTCATCGCCAGCATCTGCCTTTCCATTCTCCCCATCGCAAACATCTCCATTTTCCTTCTCGACCTTATCAGAGGAGTCTTCATTTTTTGTGGGAGAATCCACCACTTCTTTTTCCTTCAATTCGCACTCTGGAGTAGTGTCTCTATAAATAATTTTAATGTAGCTGACGTTGCAAAACCGTTAATTTAAATTATTAACACATTTAAAAATAATTATTGCAGTTGGCGGGTATGAAGGAGTTATGCGAATATTAACAAAATAAAAACTCCTTCGGTTGTGCTTTGAAGCAATGAGTTGTAAAAAAAAACAATTCCCACGCTTACAGGTTAATCACAGCCATCGCATAAATTACGCGTTGTATACTCGTTTACCGGCATTTCCACAAATAGCGCCGGTCGCCATCTTACAATATGCCGCCAAAAACAAAGAATTAATTACACGCAATTTCACTCACATTTGCACGTTTCTTTATAAAACTTAATACTTACACGTTGTCGTTTGTCTTATCCGCCATCGTAAGCTAAATGTTCAATTTAAAAAACTGTTATTTTCGTAAAAATCGGCAAAAATGAAAAGCGTACACAAATTCACTACAGCTTACGTACGTCGGAAAAGAACGCCGCGATGAAATAAAGCGAGATCGACTGAGCGGAACTGTGCTCTTATTGGCCGATTTTAACTGTTAAGTTTGAAGGTGGAAAATAACATCGTTCCCCTTCGCGGAGCCTCGTTTCAACTTTAGAAAATCCAATATACTTCGCGCCTAAAATTTTCCATTCTAACAAAAATTAGAAAATGGACGTATATTTCAAATGCGTATATAGCGGAAATTACTTGAATAATTTACTTCAGTTAAACATAAAAAATAATGTAAGGGCTTAAATGAAACCAAGAGAGTGAATACTGTATTTTGTTATTGATTAAGCACTCCGGCCATGTGTAACGTGCTTCTTTTTCATAAGTAGAGCGCGTGAACACAAATACTTACATATTTCACTATTTCAGGTTCAGTTACGTTCTTTCCATTTTGCATAATAAAAGGCAAAAGCTAAAACAAAGGTCGATGATAATCCTTGAAATGTGAACACTATCCAATTGTAGGTATGTACCTCAGGTAGGGTCGAAGGGAGGGAGTGATTCGGATAGTTTGTTGAGTAAATTGAATAGAATTGGGTACCTACCACACGTCAACACTCTTACTTTACACCTGCTCTTTGGGTGTCGATAATTGGCTATGTGGCTGCCACCATAGCGCAGATGATAATTTCAATAACTCATAATGTACCTAGGTACTCAATGATGCGGCTGTAGATGTGTAGGTACCTAATATGCAGGTAGGTCTTACTTAAGTCTATAAGTTCATACTCGATTGACGACCTCACGCTATAAGTAGGTACGCTCAGGGTTCAGAACATTAAAACAGTCATTATAATTCTATGGATGTGAAATATGGGTACGACACACCGAGTAAGTGTTACGGCATTACCTTTGCCGTGTTTTTGCATTTAAAAAAACATCCTAAAATCCAAGCGTTTATATTGGATAAGGTAGGCATATGATCGATACTCTATATACATAACTATATAACAGATATAATCACCAGTCATCACCTATACTTTACACTATAGGTACCTAGTTATTTATAACTACATTTGATCGTTTTTTTTTGTGGTTGCAGGTTTCTAATACGTAGCTATCATAATCATCTGTTTTATTGATTGCCGGGGTGTTCCTCGATTTCCGCTTAGTAAATGGGGTGGGTTTTCTTCTATAATCAATGTGCTATGCTGTTGTGAATTTGGTTTCGTTGTAGACTTTTACAGCTGATGCCATGTCGTATTTGCGTAAAAATAGGTAGGTACCTACTAACCTACCTGAGCTCCTATGCACATTTTTACGAAGAATGAATCTGCAGTTTCAGTATAGGTAGGTACGGGACTTCCGAGATTGAATTTTGAGATTTTTTTCAAAATGCTTCTCAACTGTGGCGTGTAGTTCATTTTAGTTCGGTTAGAATTTTATAAACAATACTTAATAATTTATATAATATGAGCTCTTCATCTTCCGATGAAGATGATATCACAGATTTAAATATATTTAAATCTGTGATGATATGATCGCGTAGGCATGCCTTGAGATAGAGAAACAAAATAGGTGATTTTGGGTCCACGAAATTAACCTCAAACGACTAACGAGATGCATTTGGAGAATTTGTGAACCTGTTTCCTGATTTATTAAGAGATGATCAGAAATCACAACGAGAAAACATCGGACCTTCGGTATTTTTTGCCCTCTCTAGCAAAAAGGACTGATTCCGAAGCCAACCGATGGACGTTGCCGAGCGTGGCGGAAGCAGTGCGCGGATGTTAATCTATTTCTACGTATTTCAAATCATTCCGACAGGACTGTTCCGTGCCGATCCGATCCGTTCCGATTCAATGGGCGCCCTGCTTTAGACAAGTTATGCTTATGCGTGACGTCATTGGGATAACTTGGCTCTACCGTTCAATAAAGTAATGGAGTTTGTGTAGTCCTACCAGTTAATAAAAGTGTATCCCCTTTACGGATGTGTTAAGATTTGTTCAATCCATGTCAACTGCGTCAAGTTTCTCACATTAAACTTACAAAGTATCAATTATTGCATGTTATCAATACAAATATTTAAAGTTACAATAAAATATGTAAGTAAAAAAAGTAAAAATTATATTAGCGTTTTCAAATAAGGACGAGACCTCTAGCGGCAATAAAAAAAACTTAAAAGGCTGATTACATTTCTGAAATAAGTGTATTAAGTGGTACGTTTAGCTTCTCTGTTGCCTTATATTTATATCTAAATGCATTCCGAGATGCATTCAGTATGATTACTCAACCAAATTAATTGAGTAATTGCAATGGCACTTCTAATTCAAGTATGAAGCGTATGTCATTTTCAAACTTGGCTGTGATTCTTGTGACGTCATTGGGATAAAAACGTCATCTGCGTTTAGTTATAGGCATTCCTTGTCCTATTGTACCATGGTCAGATGCTATCCAAATCTTAATTAAACACCAATCACATGGGACTTCCGGATCTCTCCGCGTCTCATAAGTGCCTCTCTCTAAAGTTAAGCTGGATTCACATGAATACGAAATCCGACGATACGATCATCCGAAATGCTTATGATTGGTCAATAATTTGAAATGTGCTTGACATTTCAAACTATTGAGTATTGACCAATCATAAGCATTTCGGATGACCGTATCGTCGGATTTCGTATTCATGTGAATCCAGCCTGCTTTACGAGGCAACCTACTCTCTCTCTACTACTAACCTTGGGTTGCCTCGTAACTTAGACGCGTCAGTTATATTTGAACTGTGTAAGTACTTAATTGTCAGGCAGTGCTGAAGACTCTATTACGAATACTTATTATAATTCGATTGAATACCTTACTGTTGGATACTTAAGTATCAATATTAGATGCCGGATGGAAATCGTTGTGACGTTTTTATATGCAATAGCAGCTCCAACAAATCGAAAGCAAATGGATCGCAGATTCAGTTTTTTGCTTTTCCAAAAGGTAATTCATGGGTTATAAAGTGCAATGGAAAGGGGAACCTGAACTCTGTATGCATGTAATAGTCTGTGCAGTCTGCATTTCTTGGCCGAAGACTATGAAGATGAAATGTAAGCTATTTTGAATAAAGTGTGTTTAATATTTCGCTAGCACGTTTCTTTCTATGCAATGCAGGAACTTTTCAGCACATCCATGTAAAGTACCCTTTCGATCCATTTTGCATTTTTTGAACGTGCTCTGTTGTCGCGTTAATAATTAATTTTTATGATGTGGACAAAATGGGATTCTGGGTGACGTCATTCGCGTATTTTAATACTGAACGTTTATTGGCTGAAAGTTACGAGGAACCTACTTTCTCTATTAACCTTGCTTGTTCCTAGCTGCTGCCGACAGAGACTTGTTATAACCGAGTCGTCGTTTGTTTGGTCGCAAGTCGCTTGACCGCTTTGGAAGCAGACCCACGTCTATTTCGCAAGAAATTTAACGATAAAACAGGCGTTTTTTACGCTGTGCGGCCATTATTGTCTTTTAAGTGGTTCTCAATGGCCCATATGAATAAAAGTGGGCATATGCTTATACTTGCAAAATTCAAAGTAAATACTCGTAAGTACCCCTTCACAGTGGGATTTCAGCAGCGCTGCACTGCGTCCCGTCCCGCTGCTCAGCAGTGCTGCTTAGTCTCCCTGTGTGAAGAGGCAATTATGAGTATCTACTTTGAATTTTCCAAGTATAACCATATGCCCACTTTTGTTCATATAGGTCAATAATTCGAATTGCTTCATGATGTTCTCCTCTTCCTCTTGATAATTCAGGAACATTCGAAGAACCGACTTTTTACAGATAAGTATTCATTTTGATTGAAAGGTATAAACACGCAAACAACATATGGGTACCAATAACAGAATGACGACTGGCGAGCCGAAGAAAACAGGTAGATGCGTGACGACTTGGGCCGCTACTTTATGCATTTACCAGTAAATTTACCACACTTATATACCAAGTTTTTGTTGTAGATTTCAGATGTCCCGTAACACTTTGTCAATTACCCATGAATTGACAACACTGTGGTTTTAACAGGTGTATCCTTAGATCATGGGTGTATCGCACGACTCGGGCGGTGTGCTCTATGAGCACTTGGTCCTTGGGAGAGTAAATTTTCATTTGCCCTTCCCTTGGATTCGCCCCTAATCTGAAAGCAGTTTTGTCCCGCATTGCCTTAATTACCCCGGGAGCAAAAGTGACACTTTCGTTCCTTAAATAGAAGACAGACTACGTTGGTTTAGTCGTTTAATCGATTAAAAACTTATCACGATTGCCGTATAACGAGCTTTTAATATTTTTTACCATAGTGCCACACATATAGCCTCATAAAGGCCAAGGTGCCACAGATTATAGTATAGGGTAATCCTACGAGCATTGAATTTATAACTAAATTCACTTCGTTTATAACTAAAATACTCGAAGGGGTACCTAATCTGTGATAGTGCTATTCATTATGATGTAAAGTGTGTTGCCTAACCGTATCCAAAACATGAAAGTTCAGGCATTGTAAACAATGGTTCAGGCTTTGGTCCAATTTTTTTCCTCTTGCACTTGTCTTTATGCATATTATAGCCTGCAAAACATGTAAGTACTTAGCATTAGACAACTTTTCGAAGTGCCTTATTGTTATTCTACGTAATATTCTTCAAGAATTACATATCTGACTCTGCTGTGGTTACGTCAGGAGTTCCGCAAGGATCTAACCTCGGTCCCCTACTGTTCTTAATCTTCATAAATGATTTGCCTTCTCTACTTTCCTGTAACACCTTTTTATTCGCTGACGATTTAAAGATTTTTACATCCATTTATAGTAATGATGATTGCGTTTACCTCCAAACACAAATAAATAAACTTGGTGAATGGTGTTCAAAAAACAACCTTCACTTAAACATGTCTAAATGCAAAGTAGTTTCGTTTTCAAGAAAATCTCAACCTCTTTTACATCCTTATCAATTTAATGATATTCAGTTTAAACGGTGTACATCGGTCACGGATTTGGGTATTATATTTGATCTTAAACTTTCCTTTTCGGAACATATATCGGTGACTATT